CCCGCTGCCCAACTAAGAGCTTCAGTGGGCGGGCGGTTACATGTAGACACTGTGAAACCCAGACACGCGAGGGATATTTCATATTCTTTTGTGCCTCGTTCTACCGGCAACGTCTGCGGCTCACGAACAATGTAGAAGTCCAAACGGTCGCCAGTCGCCTTGCGAGAAAATCTTGTAAACAACCTCCATGCAAGATGAGCGCGGAGCTGAACCACCAACGAAGTAATTGCCAATAATGGAAATGACATCTTATAGAATATTTCAAAATTTAATTAAGACAGAATTTAGCGGGGACGACAGGTTTTCAGCGTGATATCGAAGTGATACAGAAGTAGATAATGAAGGATTGATGGCACGTGTAGATTTACGCTACAGTTGCAATGGTAGTCAATTTGAATTTTTCGTCCATCTTCGAAAGTTGTGTGTGGAGATCCACTAGTGTTGGATAAACGAGATCCGGCAAGATTCCCTTGTTCCCCAGGTCACGCCGAGCTTCAGCTAGGACTTCCTTAGTTGTCGTTCCAGTCAGCACGCAGATGGAGAGCAGGCCGAAGTTGTTGGCGAAGAGCATATCCGTTTCAAGTCTGCAGTAGTGTAAGTCAATAAAACACCAAGTGAATGAATAGACCTATCGTGTAGCTCTTTCGGTTTTGAAAACCACCTTTTCGCATTTCCAAATGATATTTATTCCAGGCTGGAAATTCCACACAGGTAAGTTACAGCAGTTCAGATAAGTAAAGTATGGCTACCAGTGACCACGGAGACCTCGCGACAGCTAATGTCATGTTAGACCTCAGAGGGTGGGCCCTACTGCCTCTTTTTTTCCACATGGGTCTGTGAACCACATAAGACGAACGCTCTGTGCCACCTCAACCGCTGAGCTTCGTCTTGTATGCAGTTTACTCGACTTGAATATGCCCCTGATAAATGACGGAAAGAGAATGAGCATGACGTTGCCCTTGATATAACCCTCCCCAAGTCGATCGAGATCTTACTTTCCTGACTTGAATAAAAGTAGCTTTGCTTTTTGTTAATCGTTATGCGCTTACCCTCGTAGCATTTAAATACTGTTAACTGACGATTTAAGCCGAAGTAATTCGGCTTAGGGGTGAGATTTCAATATCGCTCCTTACGTAGACTTATACAGTATACAGTATACTTAAGTCTAGTATGCATGAAGATGAAAACTAACCCATCAGCGGCGCACATATATGTCAGTTTACGTCTTTAGCTGCTGCGTACGTGCATATTTCCCAGTTTGGAAACGATTCCTTGTAAGAGGCACTACAGTAACAGATGACTACAGGTTTCTATCCTACGGGACCGGTATTAATAGGGGTTTTATAGTTGGGGCATAGGAGGCGAAAGAAAAGGTAATTAAAATAGCAGAGCGAAAAAGTAAAAACTAGTACGAATAATTAGTTTAATGACCCAGTGTTTGGCAAAAGAAGCACACAGTAATTAAGATAAGGACTTCTGTCAGGTTTCCTCGAGCTATGGCATGTGTCCCTTAAAAATCGGTAGTTAGCCCACAAAAACGGGAATCCGTCGAGCGAAATAGCCACAATGTTTTAAGGAATTATCGAAGAATAAGAAAGGGTGAACAGATCAGCGCATAGACTGGCGGAAGCTATGCTTTGCTATAGACTCCTAATTTTCGTTATGCTACTAGTTATATTCCTTTAATGACAAACCGCACGCGGTTTCCGTTATGGTATCAATGAAGGGGTGCAATATTTAGGCAGTTCGACATCAGACTCGCTACCTCTCCCCGTGGAACATATATTAATGCGCGAAATACCCGGAAAGGTGA